TTAAAAATCAATTCGAATTGCCATGCCATGCCAAAGGGAGCATTGCAAAAGAAATTCAAAAAAAAAAAAAAGCAAGTAAATGAAAATTGCGCAATTAAACGTTTGACGTTGCAAATGTAGCAAAACAAAAACAAAGCGCTGAATTTCCTTTATAATTTTACATAAAGTCACTTACGTTAAATGCAAACGCTTCGCTCCGCAAGTTGGCTCGAATTTAATTAAAAACGTGGCATTGCCGTTGACATGTACATATGTATGCATATGTAAATGGCGGCACACAGACGCTTACCTTGTAGGAGATACAAGCTGCCATACACACATATGTACATGTATGTATTTATGTAATTTTATTTGTGTACCGGATACTGCATTTTGCCTCACTGTGGCGGCGGTGATTTATTGCCTGTTAATATATTTATATTGCAGTTATTTGTATGCATGTGTGTGTGCAAATATTGTTGCTAACGGACACAAAGTGACCACACTTTGCATAATTTTAATGATAGTTAATTAGAATTTGCTTTACAATTCTGTAAATGTTATTAACTTTTAACGGACAGTCTATTCTGGTTGGTAGTACCATAATTGTAGATTGCAAGCACTGGTCTCCACTGTTAGCTGTGCAGGAAATTATATTTGTTATAACACAAATACTGCTTAAAAGTTTTGAAAAAAATAAGAATAATAACTATTTCAAATTGCAATGTTTTTTAAACGCTTGTTTTTGTAAATGTAACGAAATATTAAAAATAATGTAACAATAAATTTGCTAGCACATCTTGGAATTAATTTTATTTTTTTTTTTTTTATCAACACGATTTATATATTTCCGTATAAAAATAGTAAATCTTAAAAAAAAAAAAATTTTTTTTTTTAATTTATCATTAAAAAGATCAACAATTTCAATTTCTTTATAAACGCTTAAATTGTAGTATATTTTTTATACAAGAAGAATATAATAAATGACAATAAATTTGAAATTAAGTATGCAATATTAAACTTACAAATCCAACACAATTATATTCAAAAAAGTATGAAAAAATTAGACTCTACATATATTTAAAAGAAAACATTTTTTTTTATAAAAATTTTTTTTTTACAATATATTTGTATATGCATTAAAGTCATAGCATAGTCTTCTAAATGCAATAAAGCTCACTCCTAAAGTAATAAAATTGTAAATAAATAAGATCTTTTTAATACTAAAACTTTTTCATAAATATTTTTTTGATAATAAATTAGTTTTGAAAAATTTTAACATGATTTTTTCAACTAGAAACACAATTTTTATATTCTTCTTCTGTTCGGGGTATAAAAAATTTGTTGTTGGAGTAATTAAAACCTTATATTGTGCGCAAACGGCGCTAAAAAACAAATATTATTACAGTAGAAGAAATTAGAAACTATATTTCTAGTTGCAAAATCATGTTTAAATTTTATGCCAAAACTTAACTCTAGAAAAAACCTTTATTTAACAACTACTCTAATTACACTAGTTTACAGTCGCAAATTTTTCTTTCAAATTTGTTGAGTAGTGTTATAGACTTCTTTAATTATAGAGGATTATCTACAAGAGCGCTGTCAACAAATTTTATATGAAAGTTATCGAGTTTTAATTGTAATCTCTCTGAATCGAGGAAAAATTAACGGGCACTCGTATATTCAAGTACGGTAAATTGGCACTAATATATTTTTGGCGAACAATGACAATAGCCAATGACGACACAGTGCTCTACATACTAAGTGCACACGTAAGTGCATATGTATTGGCCGTCACCAAGTGATAAGAAAGGTGATTCACGGGCATATATTTTTAAAAATTTGCATTCATTCATTGATTTTGCTACGAATCTAAAATTAGGCGTTACAAATGTATTGAAAATTATTGATAATAACTAACATACGTACATACATTTAAAAATATTTAAATAATTGTTTGTGGATACGAAACACGTGCGTTCTTCAAAAAGTGCTTTTCTTATACCGTATTTAAATAAATACGACGCATTTTCAATTTAATAACCGCATAGAATATAGTAAAATATGTAAACTCGATTTGCAATTATTGTTGCAACGCAACAAGACTTTGAAATTTTTAAACAATATAAGTTATTTCTTCTGAAACTTGTTATTAAACAATTCACCATTAATTTAATTAATTAATTTTGAAAATATTCAATTAAAATCTGTCTAAGAAAGTCATTTCATAAACTTAAAAATTTCCATACACAACCGCATTATTTTATATTCATATGTTTTATATAAGCCAGCATTTTTTTTAATTCCAAATTTCATCAGTTCTTCTCTAGCTCATAAATTATCTCATCGTAATAAAATCGGTGCACTGCACTGATTGAAGCTCACTCGATCAGTTCGCACTAACTAGCCGAAATAACGTTATTTTTTATCACACATAAATAGTTGAACGAATAAAAAAATCAATAGAGCAATTAAAACCACCAGATATTGGGTTGTTGATGCTTGTATTTTCCATTTGTGCAATTTAAATCATTCCGGTTTCGCTTAGTGAAAAAAATGCTCGTAAATTGTGATCAATAAAATGAAGTTAATTTACCATGAGCTCAAAACTATAACTATAAAACGATACCGTAGCTTGAAAACTTTTGAGTTTAACACAAGCATTTAGCACGTGCGTTTTGTGTAAGCGTATTTTTAATAACACAATACCGGTTGCACCGAAGCCATAATACCCTTCACAAATACAAAATATTTCTTATAAGAATTTTATTTTGATTGGTCAGATTTTTGCCAAATTTCGTAAAGATATTTCCTCAAACGAAAAGCTTGTCCATAGAAACACTTGATTCCGATCGCTCAGTTTGTATGACAGCTATATGCTATAGTATTTTAATATCGGCGGTTCCGACAAATTGCAGCTTCTTGAGGTGAAAAGAACGTTTGAAAAGTTTCAGATCGATATCTCTAACACTAAGGGACTAGTTCGCGTATATATAGACATACAGACGGACATAACTAAATCGACTCAACTCGTCACGCTGATCTATATATATGTATGAATACTTTATATGTCTTTTACTTTACAAACTTAATATACCCGGTTCAGGGTATAAAAATATAAAATTATTCAAAGTTTAACTATGCTTAACAACTCAGCGGCCCTATTTAGCCAGGTATTACTTTACAACAAAGTTATAACGTATTGACCTAAATTTTTATAAAATTTCAGTAAAAAAAGTTAAATAAATTATTTCAGCGATTTAAAATATTCCATTAATACAGAAACTACTCATTTCAAGTAATCAATTAGAATTTGATTAATTCCGATTGAGTATCTAAGTGGACTGATCATTTGTTATATCCATAAAAATATAGTAAATTATGCATAAATGGCGAAAAGCTTTCAAAACAGCTTTATACCTCTAAAGTAAATCTAGTTTGGATGGTTAGATGTTTGCTAGTAAAGTTACAAAAAAATACCAACTGTTGCCCCCACTAATTGATTTAAAAAATTATATTACTGATATTAAAATTTTAGTTATAAGCAAAAATGTATCAACAAACATAACTCTTAAACTGATATGCTGCTGAAGTGACAAAATTTGAAAGAAAATATTCAAAAGAGAAAATATTTTAATCTCGCTCGCGATTTGACATATGTCTTTGGCACCAATACATATACCATTTATGCATATCCTTATATTATATAAGAGATATGAACTTTCAGTTTCAGAAATAAAATTTTTGATATTAAACATTTATTACTGTTTAAGTCAAATTATTTAATAAATTTTTTTAAAATTTATATATTAAAATTATAATATTATAAGAGCGAATATAGTTTCCTCTGGCGTAAATGCACTCACAGATCAATTCTCACATTGAGTGAATTTGAAATTGATTGCCTCGAGTTTTTCAAATTTCAAAATTTAATTTTGGCTGTCAATTTAAAACTATATGTCATGATTCGTAAACTATAAACAGGTATTTAAGAGAACATTGTGATTGGCTGTCGTGTTGGAAGGTATGGCGAAATCGGGTTCGTATCAAACGTCTGCTTTATTATGGAGTATATTTTAAAAAAATTAAGCTTGTCATAAATATTCAACAGTTTTTCAAAGACAGGCTATGATTTTAGGGAAAATTCTATAAAAAAAACACGCGACAAACGATAAAAGAGATTGCCCAATCATTTAGCAATGGGCTGAAGGGTCAAAAATATTCACATCTCTATAGAAAGTACTATTTAGTTGAAAACAAGCACAGTAATTTTTTTGTAAATATCAACCAAATTGATAATATAATATTTCTATATTGTTAGTTATTAACAGAAAAACTTTTTCCATTTTAAGAGCGACGGTAAACACTTGAGCTGAAACTTTACACCGCCCTCTTACTAACAACGATTGTTTTAGGTGATTATAAAACATGAAATATTATTGTTTTCATAATTTATTGAAAGATTGTCAAGATTGTCAAGATTGTAATATGTTCGCAATATTATGGATTTAGTCATGTATTTATGTATATCGTCAACTAAAATGCAAAATAATGTAACAACACTTTTCATATGTTTGCCATATAGGAGAAAGAAAACTCAATATAAAATAGAAACTACTGATATTGAAATGAAATTTGAATTATTATATACTTATAACTTCATCATAACTAATAGCAGAAGTTTCAAAATTTTTGTACATATATGTATATATATAATTTGTTGTGGTGAACCGTAATCAATACGAAACTCAATTTTGAATTATTTGATCATACGTTAGTTTTAATTTTAGGTGATGATATTTATGAGGCTTATATACAAAAAAATTCTACTTCAGTAGCATATTATTAATGAATTTTGTGCCAAGCTTTGAGAAAATCACAGAGTAAAATAGTATGTACAAATGTATGGTACTATAGTACATTTAATATCTAAATTAAGCATTTGAAATTGATTATACAGAAAACTTGATACATATTTTATCTCTTAATATTTAAAGAAAAATATTTAAATTGATACGCACCATTACTAAACACACACCGATGTCATTACTGTGCACTGTCATTTAATGTTATGATTTGGCGAAAATAATAAAAAACCAATATTATTTAAATTAACTATGCAGGCGCACACGCTAAACCGCAACAATTATTTAATTAATGAAATTTGTTGCTTGCATTCGTTTCACACGCTTATTTTTTGTTCCTTAGTAGAACTGCAATAAATGCCACAGCTTACACGATTTGCATAACAAAGCGGGTAATCACCGGCTCCGCTTTACGCTTATTTTGTGAGAGTAACAATTTTTTTCTGGTTTATTTAAATTTATTTTATTTTGTGCACTTTCCAATTAATCCAAATAATAATATATACACACATTTGTACATAAATCCATATTAAAGCAGTTAAAGCTACCGGCGCTAATTTTTTTGTTTTTTGCACACCTTGAAATTTTTCTCTTCGCACTTTTGCCGACGCAATTTTCTAGTTTTCTGGCACACACACGATTTGCTGTTTCTTCTACGTTACAAAGTCGAGTTTATACTTTTTGAGTAATTTTTCGTTTTACGCCTAAAAATCACATGTACTACACCGAAAACTAATTTAGTTTAAAAAATTTTACAGTTTACACCTTTTGGTAGCACAAAAATTAATTGAAGATTCCGTTAAGCTGCCATTGCGAACGCGAATTGGCTAAACACAAGCTAGTAGTTAGTGTATGATGAGACCTACTGACAGCACTGATTGACGGCGGCAGGCCAGTGGGCGAGCATACTAACTACCCGTGTAGTATGAAATCGTAGCAAACGGCAGGCACTGGCTAACCATCAACTGACATTTCGTTCGACGGCGTACGACGGCGGAGCGAACGTGCGAGCATATGCGAGCGACACGGCACGACGATGCAAACAATCTGCGTAACAGTCAAAAGTAGACTAACATGAATTTCCAACATGAGCAACTACAAAGTTGTACAACAAATGGGAATTACAACACGACGACACGATGATGATGACGACGACAACAACAGCAATGCGCCAGGCAATGTATAACGACAACGAACTACTACGACATCGGCATAAACATCAACAACGACACGATGTACAGCCACAATAACAAATGAACGAAAAACACACACACACACATATATATACACACAAAACAACAATAACAACAATTGGTTGTACAAGTAAAGCAACGATAATGGTGATAGCATGGCTGGCTGGCTGACTGGCTGCCCGCAGCGCAGTAGCCCGCTCTGTTTTTGATGGTAGTAGTGGTGGTGGTGGTGGTATGGTGATGGTGATGGTGGTGGGTTCAACGCTGCTGCAACAATACTCCTAGCAATAATGAGTGCCAAACAACAACAACAACCACCAACAAAACATGAGAGTACATCAAGAAAACATGAGGCAATCGCAGCAATAAGACACACAAATACATGTTTACACAGAGGCAAACACACACACACATCCACATATAGACCATTATTTGCAAAGGGAGTAACGAAAGGTTAGCGGAAGGTAACTAACGAATTGACACACAGACACAAACTACTACAGAAAGAGCGTAATTTTATTGAGCGCGTATTATACTGTGAGATAGAGAGTGTTTGGCTGCAGACTGAGCGAACCAAGAGAGCGCGTGAAAATTCAATACGAAGTGCATAAAAGTTGTTAAATTGCATTTGAGTGAGTTGTGCTGTTGAAGAGCTAGTGGCAGAGTTGACCTATGACTATACTCGTGCAACTGTGTAGTTGCAGCAAAGGTGTGTGTGTTTGCAGTGTTGACGCGCAGTGTTTTAAGAGAGTTATAAGAAAAGTTAAATACAGCACATGTAATAAAGAGTAACAACAATCAAAAGCAAATTGAAGAACAAGAAGTGCATAAAACTACAACAAAAAATAGCAATAACAAACGATAATAATGCTAAATGAGTATGTACACATACTACATATGTACATTGCAGAGTGGAGTTCCACAAGGAGTTTTATTGTAACACACAACAACAACATTAACAGTAAAAAAGTTGGCCCTGCAGCGAGAGGTATTGGCCAGCAAATGTTGCATATATGTACATATGTATCTACAATTGGATTGCTGCAAGCGGGGTGGTTAATTGGGGTACTTGTAAAGTCCCAAATACTTGTAGAGGAATAAACTCGATTGCAGTAGGATAAAACTTGTGTATTTACAAATGTATAATGAATATTGATATTCGAAGAAATTGAAGAGAACAAAATTCAGACATGTAATACAAGTCTTTCAGCATAAGCAAGTTTATTGATCTGTAGGTTTATGTGGGAATTCGAAAAAATACAGACCAGGAGTTTATTGAAAAAAATGTAATATATAATATTTATAATTGCTAAAACCTAGATCCTTCAATCCTTCATTACTAGAAATAAAACACGTTGATTTCTTTAATACTCACTATAAGAAAGGATATATGCATTTACTTAGCTGAGCAATAAAAGTACTTTATTATGAAAATTTACATCCACATGATGAGACGTGAGATTTAATAAAAAATTAATTGAAAGTCTCGCTAGTTCACGTTTTTTGCAACAAAAGTGGAAATTTATTTTAATACTCAATGGCATATTTATATAACCACCTCATTTAAATACGGGCAGATACTTACTATTTAAATAAATTTTAAGAAAAAAATATATATAATTGGGTACACAAAAAAAAATTATTAATCATTAAATTTTAAATCGAAATTGTATGGACGATTTCTTTCAATAAATTTTTTTTGTTGAAATTTTGTAGAAGATTTTTTTACTGAATGCTAAACTAACGTAAATATTTCCAATAAAATTTGTTCTGAAAAGTAACCAAGAATTGAAAAAAGTAAGCGGAACATATGATGTATGAATACTAAATATGCAAGAATATATATATTTATTTAAAATCGAAAGCTTAAACGGCACACCTAGTGTTTCCGCTTAAACAAAGATGATTTTTGCGATTTTTTCAAAGAAAACTACTGCATGAAAAGTTTTAAAATTTTGAAGATATATTTATATATACTTAATGAATATATATAATGAATGAAAAAAAATACTAAGGAAATAATTTTGGCGCGCTATTCGCTATTTGCCAAGTTGCTAAAACACAAAAGCCTTCACTGCTGCAGTGATTGTGGCCTTGATCGTGGCTGGTAATAAAAAAAAAACATTACAAAGACTACTAATCTAAGGGGTATTGCTGATACAAGAACATACGACTTTTAAACATTTTGCACAAAAATCAGATGCCTTTTTGCTTCTAATCTAATTTTTTTTTATAAATATATTTTAAAGAACGTTACTTAATCAAAATTAAACGTTATTATATGAAAAATATGATTATTAACTTTCTCCGATTTTTTGTAACAAAGTACAAGAAAACATGTATGATATTTTTTTTTGAATTTGTCTAAAATTCTAAATTTTATAAAAAGCAGCAGATATGTTTTCTAAAACCTAAAATATGTACATATGTATGTAGCATATGATATTCATAAAAATTTATTCTTTTTTTAATTTGAATTTAAAACACAAAAAAATTTATTATTAATTAATTTTATAATTGATTTCATGACCTAAAATTATAGCAACATTGACAAAATGAAATAATTATATTATATTACAATACATTAATTTAAATTATCTTCATTCAGAGTACGAAATAAAATGTTTCTACTTCGAAAGTTGAACAAATTTCTTTGAACTATTGAGAACACATTTTTGTTTTCATAGTATACGACTTGCTTACTTCCTAATTAAAGAACGTACTTAACTAAACCGATATTAAAATCCTTAAAAGCCGACGGCGGAATTGAGTGAAATCCAAGAAATTACTTCGTAAGGTGAGTGCACCGTATGCCATATACCATATGATATAATAGCAACACTCTAAATAATGGTGCATAAAACTAGCAAGGGTTAGTAAAAGTTGATCAAAAACAAAAAAAAAAAAAAAAAACTTAGTTAAGAAATACAAAGAAAACTGGATTCCTTAATGCAACCACACGCCACCTTTCACCACAAATTTCAATGCATTGCGCTCTCTTATAAACTGATTGTAGTGCTTTTAAAAAGTACGTTCTCTTCAGATTTATTTATTTTTGTTTTACACAACTATATATCTTGTTGTTGTTGTGCAGGGTTTGTTATTTCAGGAGTGTGTGGCATGCACGTTCGCTCATTCATGCTCACCACGAGAATGTACCTACAAGATATGTCTTCGTACTACACTAACAGTAACAACAAAAACAACACAGTATAGATCATGTGAACAACAAACAGACTATGGTACATATCTACATACAAACATATGTACATCTGTACAACTAACATTGATACAGCAAACAGCGACAGCAGCATAACATCGGCAATAATGATAATCATTAAAGTGGGCAGGCTGCTGCTACCACACTGCCGCCTTAACGCTGCAACACCAACAACAGCAACAAATGTGACAGGCAATTGTATGCAAAGGTTGAACGGACATCGGGCAAATACTAGTGGTATATAGTTGTTAAGAAGATCCAGCATTGAACCGGTTGTGTTCGACGTCCGTCTGTTTGCATATGTATGTGTGTGTGTGTGTTTGTGTGCTCAACAAAACTCTATCTACAAGATACAATACAACCAACGTCGTCGCAGTCGTCTCATATCTACTGCGGCCATAAATAAAATATCTACAGGCAAACAGGCAGGAACACGCGAGAGCAAAGTAACAAAAGAGTGCGCCCTATCCAGTGTGAGCGAGATGCAAAATGTGACAACGAAAAATCGACAACACGAATCAAAAGAAGCGTTGAATATGAAGCAGAGCGGTTAGATTACAGGGGAAGCGGTGCGCTGAGGTGGCGCTGTAGCAGAGTGTAAGAGCGCGTGTATGCGTTTGTGTGTGCGCTGGGCGTTGAGTAGCGTAAGCGACAGGCAAGCAAAAGGAAGAAAAATGTATGACTGGTCGCAGCTTTGGTTGGGGCGGTGGTTGAGCGCATAGACACGTATGCATACATACATATATACACAGTTCAGTTTGTGTTTGGCAAGGGGTGCGGCGCGTCACATTAACTTCATATCGCGCAAGTGAGCGAGTGAAAAAGAGAAGAACATGGAAAAAATTAACTTAACAACTAGAAAAATGGCTGTTATTGCATGTTGCGCTGTAAATGCCGCTGCCACTGCCACGGCGCGGTAGCATAAGCACTACGGCAACAAAACATGAAAACAATAACTACAACACGATTGCATGCATACACACATACACACATATGTATGTATGTATGCGCGTGCATTTATGCAGTGGCGCGCACACGAAAGTATGTTGTTGGTAGCTTTGTAAGCGCAATTGAGTAGACTATGTTGCGCTTAGTCGCGCTTTTTTTCTATGTTTTTTACGGTTACTAGAGTGGCTGGAGGGAGTAGCTCCCCTGCGTGCGCGCTTCCAAATGAGAAACAAGAAAAATTAGAAGCAGCAAGACAACAAGCGAAAACAACGGTAGCTACAATGTACAAGTATTTTCGAGCGCGCATACACACATACATGCATAAACACATATACATGTATGTAAGCATGAAAAGGGGTGGGCCAGCGTGTTTTGGCTGCTCGAATTGTGCGCTGATGAGTCCTCTGCTCAGCGTCGCTAGTCGTCGCGTTAACCTTTACATCTAGCAGGGGGCAGTGTTTGGCGCGCGCTTAAGCAATCGCTGACAAGCATTGAGCATTGAGTGAATTTTCTACTTTTTCAATTTTTTCCGTGCGACAATATCTGCTAAGCGTTACTGATGTTGTGTTGTTAATGTTGTATTGTGTGTGCGTATGCGTGTACTTTTACCATTTTATTATTTCTATTTTTTCTGTTTTTGCTTTCATATGTATTTTTTTTGCCTAACCATGCGTTCTGGGTTGTAGTAACGCTTGTTATTATTTGTAACTTTGGGGTTATGCTGCTACAACACGCTGAGTGACTGATGAGCTAGTCAGTTATTTGGCCTTTTTAGTTTACAGCTTTCATACTGTTGTTTCTATTTCGTGCTTTTGTCTAATTATTTGAAGTGGCTTCTTAAAAACGGTATGTATTTCTATGTGCTGTTGCATTGGTGTCAGAGCGAGATAGCACAGCTATACGAAATGATCCTCGTAGTTGCTTAAAGTTTAAAAGATTTAAGTACAATACAGGTTTG